AAAAAAAAAAAAAAAAAATTAATAATTATTTATGATAAAAAAGAAATGAATATGTAAAAAAGGGATAAAATGAATAATGAATAATGGAAAGTAAAATTAAAAGGATAATGTAAAAAATGAAATTGGAGTGAAAGGATGATAAAAAATAAAATAGGATAATAAAAACAAAATGGGAGTAAAATGGAATGATGTAAAATAAAATAAAATAATAGAAAATGAAATAGAAGTGAAGGAAATAATAAAAAATAAAATAAAAGTAAAATAGAATAATAAAAATAAAATAGAAATGAAATGGGATGATGTAAATGAAATAAAATGACAAAAATAAAATAAAATGAAATAGAATAATGAAAAATAATATGGAATGATATAAAGTGATGAAAAATAATATACACATGCCGATCAAAATTATCTGGCCACTTTTTTAAAGTGATAAACTTATATATGCATAATATTGTGAAATTTAAATTTTAAAGTTATATATATTCATTGTGCCATTGTTTGTTAATTTAAATAAAAATTTAATAATGAATTCTATTTTCATTGGTGGCAATAGCTTCTTCAATTCTATAAAGTATGCTATCAATAATATTCTGGAGATATATTTATTCATGCGTCCTTAACATGCTTTTCAGTATTTTTATTACAAAATTTAATAAGGTTAAGTATTATCCATTATGAAATAATATTATATAAGATTATAGCTTGACCTATAACTACTTACATAAATATATTATTATGTAAGTTTATGAAAATTTGTGTAAGATTATAGATTAAAATTTAAAAATCGTATATCAAGAATATTTCGTTACTCAGTAATTTGATCTTCATGAATTAAGATTTGTTAGATTCGTCTCATTAAGTGGATTCGAATAGTAATAATTACATTCTTGTAGGATCGATATTTGATATGTAATTGCACTTTAAAGATTTAAATAAATTTTATAATAAGTTTTGATTCAGTGATCGTATAAGGGCTGTCTCTTATACACATCTAGATGTGTATGGGGGGGGGGGGTAAGGTTTATAAGAAAATGAATATTACGTGATATGTGTAACTCCCCTAACCATAATTTTTAGCTTATTAGATTCGTCTCATCGAGGCGATTCAAATGGTGGTAAATATATGTTTATTAGATTAATATTGACAAAGTTACGGGATTTTTTAAATCTTTTAATTTATCATTACGTAAATCATAAATTTACTCAGTAAATGGTTTATATTTCTGAAAAATTCTGAAAAATATGAAAAATGTAAAGCATGGAAATTTGTTTATTGTAATTATAAATATAAAATCATATAATATTTTTGTCACATTAGCACGTGATGATCTGCATAATTTTGGTAAAACAAAGTGGCTGGATAATTTTGATCAGCATGTGTAAAGTGATATGAAGTAATGAAAAATGATATAGAACAATATGGAGTGATAAAAAATAACATGGAGTGATATGATAGAGTGATAAAAAATGATATAAAGCGATATGGATTGATGAAAATCAATATGAAGTGATATGAAGTAATGAAAAATGATATAAAGTGATATGGATTGATAAAAAATAATATGAAAGTGAAAGGAATGATAATAAATGAAAAGGATAATTAAAAATAAAATGAAAGCAAAGGGAATAATAAAAAATAAAATGGTGGCAAAGGGAATAATGAAATAATAAAAAACAAAAAAAGCAAAAAAAAATAATGGAAAATAAATAAAAAGGAAGTAAAATGGATATAAAAAATAAAAAAGAAATAAAGTGAATGATAGAAAATAAAAAAAACTGTTAATATCATTTTTAATAAAAAAAACAATAAAATAGCAAAATACTAGTAATAAAAGTAAGTCTCACTTTAAACTCCTTAAAGTTATTAAAATTATTATTTTTTGAAAAATAAATTAACAAGTTAACATAAGAGAAAAAAAACATTAAACTAAAGATGTAATATGTAATTAATAATTACTACCTTGTGTTGTAACAGTAAGAGTTGCAACCTATTACTACTTTTAAAGTTAAAGTGTTGTAATATTATAACACTTAAAAATTTCCTTTTTGAAAAATAAAAATTACAAAAATAAGTTTTTATAGAACAAATATCATTATGAAAAGAAATGATTAATATATTATAATATATATTTGTATAATTGAAAATAATTACAACACTATATAATAATTACAATACTAGTAGTAATTATAGTATATAATAATTATAATATTGTATTGTAATTACAACAAAAGTGTTATATGTATGTTGTAATAGTTGCAATTTTACAACCTTCTAAAAGTAAAAAACAAAATATGTGCTATATATTTGTATAATATGAAATCACCTGGTAAATTTCAACAGAGTAAATTTAAAATTTTAATGCATTGCAGCAGATTAAAGTAAAATTTACTAGAGGTGAATATAAAATTAATTCTTAAATAAATAACAAAAAATACAAAAAAAAAAAAATTTTTTTTTTTTTTCTTTTTGGATTTAAATTTTAACTTAAAATTTTAAAAAAGTAAATTAAAAGTAATCTTTTATTATAAAAATATTATTAATGTTTTTTTATTTTTCTTTTTTAGAAATAGCTTTTGAATTCAAAATGATAAATTGAAGAGAAACTTTGGTAATTTTTTATTATAATAATATTGCTAACTTTTCTTTTTATTTTTTTTCCCTTAAAATGGTTTTTAAACTTTGATTTTTGAACTGAAACTTTGGAATAGTAGGGTTATTAAATATTTAAATTATTTTGAATTGCTTTAATTATAAGTAAAATCCCAAATTTAATATGACATCCCAAATTATTTTGGCATTTTACATAGTAAATTATATATGAACTAAATGAATTATAGCATTCTAATTATGGTATTTTAAAATAATTTGGGTAGCATGTATAGTTAAAAGAGGAGCTTTAATAATTTTTTTATTATAAAATGTTATTAACATTCCTTTTTTATTTTTTTTTCCTTTAAAAATAACTTCTGGATTTTTATTTTGAATCAATTATAAATTATATATTAGATATCTGAAATTTTATCCAAAAAAATCTTATTTTCAGAAGTATATAATTAATTAATAAAACCAAATATATTGAAATTTTATTTTTTCTAAAAGTTTTTACTATTTATTAAAAAATTATTTATATTGTAAATTAAAATAAGTATTATTACAACTTCATTTATTAGGTTAAAAATTAACGTCACTATGATTGGTCAAAATTTGGGGGCTATCTCAAAAATTGGGGTCTAGGATGCGTCAATATGAAGGATTTTCTTTGTTTCAGTCATATAGTACGTACAATACGTTGGGTATACCATCTTAAAAACAAATTTCTTCATATACCGTGCGGTTATTTCCTTACACCCGTTTCTCATTACTTAAATCTCAGTTCCAAGTTCATACTCTAAATAAACTTTTCTCAAGTTTTCATCATGTCCGCAGGTTTAGACATGTCTCTTGATGAAATTATTGCGAAAAAAAGGCCATCAAGAGGAGCTAGGACCGGAGGTCCTACCCGTACAGGTGGCATCGCTAAGCGTTCTGGCGGTCCTGTCAGAAATCCTCGATCTTCACAAGTTAGACCTCGACCTTACAGTAATACTGCTGCTACGGCATCATCAAATCTCAACGCATCACCAGAAGGAAAAATTCTTGTTTCAAACCTCGCCTATAAAGTCACAGAGGCAGATCTTTGGGTAACTATTTATAAAATGTCCAATACTTTGCAAGCCGTTGACGGTTGTGCAACAGAGAGACAGCAGAAAAAAATCAGAGAGAGGTGATTAGTTTCTTTCTTTGGTGCCAAAGCTGAGGTTTAGACCGTCAACAAATAAACCTGAAGCGAAAAGGCAACCTTTGTACGAATTTATTATCGTCAACGGCCCTTCTTCGCCATATGGCTTTGGAACCTGGAGATTCTGAAATCTTTTCTACAACGCTCTCCAAGCCGATCAACCATGTTGCTCCTACTGAAAACAAACCACCTGATCGCAAACAAAACACTCTCCATGCACATACACACTTCGACTCCCTTTATCCTTTCACAATACCAGGAACTTTTCTCAACGATGATCGGTCCTGTACGCCAAGTTAACCTTAACTTTGATCAAAGTGGTCGCTCAAAAGGTACTGCATCCGTTGTTTTTGCAAGGAAAAATGACGCCGTACGGTCCGTTGAAAAACTTAGGAATATTACTCTTGATGGTATGTATTACTCAATTACATGGCTTTTTATTTAAGAAATATTATCTAGAATTCTTTTTATTCACTATAATTAGGCCGTGAAATGAAGATTGAAATTGTTGTTGCTCCTAACGTTGGTCCGATTACTCAGCGTATTGGTGGAATCAATGAGTAAGTCGAAATTTATGCTTGCTAATTAATTTTTGATTTTTTAATGTTATTTTGTTCTTCAAGATCTCGCCCATCCACACGTGGTACCGGAGGATCTCGTGGCACCCCCACAAGAGGGGGTCGAGGGGGTCGAGGAGGTCGTAGATCTGATAATAGGCCCAAAAAAACACAAGAAGAATTGGATGCTGAGATGAGCGAGTATATGCAGATTGATGAGGTGATAAATTGATGCTGTTATTTTAAATTTTTAATAATTTTTATTTGTAATATTTTGTCATCTCGTGAATTGTTATTGTTTATGTAATATATAGGATTCAAATCAAGCTGGTGATTCTTCTACTGCTCAATTGACACAAGCTTAATCCTTATTTCAAAATTCTTACGATCCATTTCACAATTTTTGAAACTATTTGCATTTACTATTTGAAGAACGAATTGCAGTATGGATATTGTATTTGGATCGTAAACATTCAAAATTATTATTATTGTTGGGCTGTATTTTAAAATATTTTTAAATTTCTTTATCACTCAAAATATCTGATATCTTTATAATAATAGATATATATTTTTAACAATACTATGTTTAATTTTGTGGGGAAGTGAGATTGTTTTATAATTTTATTATGGATTTATATAAATATTTGCTGAGATATAAAAGTATTAATCATCGATCCAATAGAAAGCATTTAACGCTTACACTATTTTATTCTTTAATTTACCTGTTTAGTACGAAGAGTTAAATTTAGTTTACAAAATTGTCATAATTGTAATAATAATAATTTATTAATCCATATTTTATGTACAAAAAATAATTATATATTAAATCTATTTTATGTTCGAAAAAAATATTTCGTATATTTAACACATCAAACACATCATTTATAGTCACTCTTCGGTGGCGTTCAACCAATAATCATCTACAATATTAATAATATTAATAACGTAGAAAAAGTATGGTATGGTTGATTTAAATATTCGTGCCAGATTTGTGGCGCAACAATTTCTTTTAACACAACTATGATAAGAAACTAGATTTGCCAAAATTTGGTATTAATATTTACCAAATAAAATTTTGTTATCCAAGTATTAAAACTTGCAGAACAATATTTGCGCCGCACGTTCGCACGTTAGCTTAATAACACTAAATACGAATCACGTGGTTAGATATAATTCCGAGTTTTGAAATTTGTAAAGTGATTAGGATTTTATATCAAAAAATTGTTTAGTTAAAATAAAAATTGAGATTGAATTTTTATTAACTTTTTACCAATTTTTAATTAGTATAATAGGACTTTTGAACATCTCTTAGTATTTAATTTACAAATAATGTATAATAAAGTACTTTTTTTATAATGACTTGGTTAATATTAATACTAGAAATGCAATTTTATTACTATTATTAATTAGTTATTTATCTAAAAAAAAAATTAAAATAACAGAAATACAACATAAAAAAATTTAAAATAACTAAATTAATATCTGATATATATATACATATTAATATAATAATAACTCAATAATTTGAGACCTTTCATCACTGATTACATGGACCATTTTTTATGAAATTTCAGCTGAAATATTTTTTATTAAAATAAAAATATAGGTCTTATAGCAAATAATAATAATATTTTTTTACACCACAAGAGGCTGCAAACCTCATACAGCATATTACTGGAAAGTTTTACTGAAAAATCCTTCGCAGATATTTTAGAGAGCAAAACTGGCATATTTCAAGCCTTAAGCAAGTTTTACCTAAAAATATACAGCTGTCTTAATAGTTTTGTTCAAGTATATAGCATAGAGCTCAAAGAATATATGGACTTTGATAAGTATAACTACATATATTTTTTGTATATTATTTTCCAAGTTATTAATATTTATAATAACTGTTTTTGAAAGCAATTTAAAGTTGTTATAAGAAAAAAGTCACTAATCTGGAACATGTCAACAACAATAGCAATCCAGTTATATAAGATAAGCTATTGATACAGATGTAAATTATTGAAAAGCTAAAATGCCAATTATCAGTTATACTATCTGTGATATAAATAAAATTTTTAGATGTACAAATCCAACCATTTACTTTAAAAGGTAAAAATAAATGGATCACTTATGCTAAAATTGTCTAAAAGATGATGACAGTAGTATTACATCTTCCTCACTTTCTGGAATTAAATGGAATACTTAACCTACTTCTAAGAAAAGTAGTACATCAAAAGACAAATTGCAGCAGTTAAAAATAAAGAAGTTTAAACATGTATTAGAAAAATATATATCAATAATTATGATAGAATACCAACTAATAAGCAAAAAAGGTATCTGTAAAATTGTTGATATTTTGATCTTCTTGTAAAAATAAGGTAAAGTTATTGTAATGAAAAATTAAAATGCAAAAGAAGTATATAACTGTGACTATATCAATTAACCTTAATAAGTGAATATTAAAATATTAGAATGATAGAATCTGTACAGCTTTATTTGAAAGTTTGCTTATAAGATGATTCCTAGCATTCTAAACTTTAAAGTAATGCAAAAAACATGAGAGTTTAGGCAATTTCAATAAATATACCTACATCTATTAATGCTAGTATTTTATATTTTATTGATAATCTAATCCAATTATTGCTATTTTCTTTTAAAGTATGATGTTTAGCTTACAAAATTATTCAAAATCATGAAAAAAATTAATTATATATTATAACTCTTAGAAACTTGAATAAAATTCTTAATACTGATTTTATTCAAAAATTATAATAAGAAATAAAAAGGCTTAAATGATAGTGATAAATTTATTATTTTTCTGAAATTTAAATATTGTTAAGATTACTAATCAACTGATAGGATTTGATTAGATCAAATTGGAAAAATGTGTAATAAAATAATACATTCATTATCTGAATTATATTTACTAACTCTTTTTTTATCTGATTTTTTTTTAATGTTCATAGAGCTGGTTTACTCAGATCATCACTTTGTTGAAATATTGAAACATTCGCAGTTGATAACTTCATAGTAAATAATATATAATTTATTTATTAAGAAGCTTTTTTTGCATTACCTTACCATTTAAAAGTCCAATTTCAATAAATTTTTTTTTATTTTATAAAGTATAAAGAGAGCTACAAAATAAAAAAAAAAGTTTATGCAAATTGAATTATTGGATAGTAAAATAATTGTATTATAATATATATGTAATATATAGTAATTTATTTATTAAAAAGCTTTTTTGCAATTAATTTACTATCTAGCAGTTCAATTTTAATGATTTTTGTTTTGTTTTGTAAAGCATAAAGAGGTCTACAAAACAAAAGGAGTTTATACAAATTGGATTATTGGATAGTAGAATAATTGTATTATAATATATATGTAATATATAGTAATTTATTTATTAAAAAGCTTTTTTGCAATTAATTTACTATCTAGCAGTTCAATTTTAATGATTTTTGTTTTGTTTTGTAAAGCATAAAGAGGTCTACAAAACAAAAGGAGTTTATACAAATTGGATTATTGGATAGTAGAATAATTGTATTATAATATATATATAATATATAATAATTTATTTATTAATAAGCTTTTGCAATTTCGGAACGGATAACTTAATTTGGATTTTTAATGGATTTATTGACGTAACGCTCAGCCCGACCTTTTTCCGATATTGTGGAACTAACTGCTGATGGTTTATCTTTAAACAACCTTCAATCAAAGCCTTGGGTCTTATCTTCGACTATGCCTACACACTTAGGATCCTATGACCTGGATGGTGGATGCTTATCTCTCACTATTTTATGGGACGCTCGTGAGAGGAACGATCTGGATGGATTTATAAATTTTTACTTTTTATTTGCATTTAACAAAAAAAAAAAAATT